CCCCCCCCCCCCCCCCCCCCCCCCCCCCGCCCGGGGTTTTGGGGGGGGGGGGGGGCCTCTGGGCCCAGGAGGGTGAGGAGGGGGCGAGGAGAGGACGGGCAGGAGCCACAGAGGGCCACCCCTTACCTCATCAGCTTGGGCGAGGAGCTGGGTGAGTTCCGCATGCCTCCGTTCCGCTGCTTTTTTTTGGGTGACAGCGTTGACGGCTGCTCATCTTCAACTGGAAATACAGGCAGCTCGTGAGATTAGGAACAGTTTGAGGGCAGACTGAAATACAGGCAAGATATCAGAGGACACACACTCAAGGCTCAGTCACTCTCTAGGAACTCACGGCGGTCTTTTAGGACCCAATGACAGAGACCAAATGTGTTAGTCAAAGAGGTGGCTTAGAGAAGGTGAAAGTGTCACCTCTTTACGCTCTTGCCTTTGAACATGCACTTTCAACAGACTAAAACAGTTCGTAAATGCCATAAGAAAAAAATAAAAGAAATTGTGATTTATCTGTATACAAAAAATATATATGTATGAACAGTCAATCATTATAGAGCTAATTTTGGTTACTTTGTTTTGCCGTGTTAGCAAAGGAGTTGACTCCTAACCAAAATCAGAAGTAAAGTTATATTTGAAATGCAGCATCCTAACTGCCATCCTGCTGTTTCTGCAGATGAAACAACTTCACTGGTTCCTAATCCCTGCATGTCAGAGAGAGCTTTGAAGAGAAGCAAGGATTCAGGGCCTCAGCAGTCAATGTTGCAATCAGTTAGGACTGGGAACATTGGCGTGTGCTGGCTCCAGAATCCCCAGCCCACCTCAGCTCTTTATCTCTCCAACTGCCAAGAGGGAGGGCTTGTGGGGCTGCACAAGTGGGGTCCTCTCTTAACTTGGTAAGACAGGAGGACCAGGCTGGCGAGGTTGGAGAGTCGGCCAGAGGAGAGCACCCAATTGAAGGAGGAGGTTGCCATTGAATGGTATCTCTGATGGTGGCGGTAGGGGGCAGAGATGAAGCGTAGCTTAGGGATTGGAAACCAAAGGCTGTTTTCCAAATGTCTAAACCACACAGATCGCTAAGCAATGGGAAGCTTCACCCACGAACATCACAGCACACTCTACTGCTCTTACCCAAAGACACCCGCTAACAAGCTTTGCAGATGTATTAGCCTGCATCATGCTTCTTTTTAAGAGAGCTGCTTGATAATTAGCAGATGCATACCCAGCCTGTCACCCGAGGGCATCAGTGGCAAAATTTTAGTTCTCCTCTCCCCCGCCCCCACAACTCAGGCTCAAGCTGCAATGTCAAGAAGAAAAAATAGGATCCTCGGACTGTTATAGTTGACAGTGACACAGACTAGGAGGAAGCATCCCTGAGACACAGAAGGCACGGCCGTTACCTTAAAGCTAAGAAGAGAAATATTAGCAGTGATGACATCAAAAGAAGCTTGATATATGTTAATGGTGCATGAGTCTTAGACGGGGGAAAAAATGCCATTTCAGCTACTTGGTGTTATCCAGGAAGATCCAAATCAGAGCATGCATTATATGGTACTTCCCTGAAAACCCTAAATAAATGTAGTAGGTTATGATACATGGTTCCAAGGAGATAATAATAATACAGCTACCCTCCAAACCTGCTTCAAAGCATCACACTTTTCCAACTCCCCTATTCTGCTGTCAGTCTGAGGGGTTGTCTAAACCCTGGCTGAGGCAGGGAAAGGGAACAAGACAGTGGTGTGAGGTGAGAGCGATAGAAAACATGAAGACGAGAAAGCACCTGTGAGCGCCCACAGCCCGCTCACTGCACCTGTGAGCGCCCACAGCCCG